ATCAATATGGGCCAACATTTCTAAAGAATGCTTTCAGCACCTTGTTGAATCAATGCCACGTAGAATTAAGGCAGCTCTGAAGGCGAAAGGGGGTCAAACACCGTATTAGTATGGTGTTCCTAATAATCCTTTAGGTGAGTGTATATCAATAACAAACACATCATACAGTTGTTTCTTATCATAGTTTTTATTAATGTATATTAAAGTGGTCTTAGCTTGTTCATTGAAAGTTTCATGAATGCAATGCTTTAAGACATGTTATACTTACATGCTGCTGAATGTTCTACATATGCATTATAAATGTGCAGAATGTCAAGAAGTCACTACTGCAGACACTAACCAGTGTATTTCACACAGTGAGCAGTTTATTTGAAAAAATACAACTCGACTTGTACGATGCTCTGGAAGGGACAAATGAATACAATTTAGCTTAACGTGCCCATGAAATACTGAATTGAGCTCACAAAAACCCAAAAATGTGTGCATGACTTACTATTTTTGTCCTCACCATTTGCTATTTTGCACTCTCACATTACTTGTGGTTTTGTGCACACAAAGCCAGGAGCTGAAAGTCTGAGACTGCAGTCAAGCCATCTGCATGTTTTGAAGTGCACAAATACTATATGTAAATAATTTATTACTGAATTAAAGGCCAAATAATAATAATTAAAAAAAAGATGCATAAATATGTAAATGGTAACTAAAAGACCACAAAGCGTTGTTCTTAATCGATTATAAATACAAAAGAACAAATATGGAATGTGAGATATTAGAAATTACTATAAAGGCTCAGAGATGCATACATATTGGTTATTACCATGTGCAGTATTAAGAATTATATGACCATAACCCTTCATAGAAATACCATTGAATTATGTGGACACGTAGATGATCTAGCAGAATAAGTTGGAATGGAAGACATATTGTGCATTATTAGAAAGATATGGGCTCAGTGATATACACATGTATTTGTTGTTACAGTACATAAGCTTTAATTACTGTAATCCCTAATTTCCATCATGGAAATTCTGTATGGCTACTTGTCAGATATAGAACATTCACTAATTGAAATGTGAGAGATATTATGTCTTATTACAAAGATTTGAGTGAATACCAGGGGCGTGAGAAGCATTTTGAATGTGGGGGGGACACACTGAAAAACAGCGCTGGGTGAAGTAATATTTTATGTAAAATGTAGGGGGGTCCAAATGAATAATTATGAAATGTGAGGGGGACACGTCCCCCTCAGACTTAATGGAAGCGAAGTCCATGCATAATACAGTACCATAGTACGTGCAAACAACTTAGACAGCTTGAAATAGCAAATTGAAAGCCCAAAAATTGTATGCACATTTTGGGGATTTCCTGAGCTCGATTCAGTATTTTATTTTTATTTTGTTCACATGAAACTAAATTACGCACATAAAACACAAATAAATGTCCATGCCCCCCCAGGGCACCATACCATTGCCTTCTTTAAATGGCAGTAAAACCCAACTGATGATGCTTTGGCATATTATGTTAGCAAGAAGGCAAAGGAAAAACAATGAAATAATCTAAATAAAAACCAGTTTACACAGAAGGTGATTTTTGGCAAAGGATCCAATCCACCATTGTCTTATTTATACATGGTTCTCACAACAGATCCTCTGTGGTTAACCAGAAACATCTTTTACATCAGCAAATCCATCTTGGGCAATCAAGGGCAAAAATAATGTTTAAAGATTTTTTTTGCATTCTCTGCATGACTAAATAAAAGTTCTATGTCAACTTGTGTCAAAGTAAATGGGAGAAGACGAGAAAAGATCAAAAGCAAGCTGTACCTGGAATATAGCATTTATAGCTGATTTTCAGTTTTATTTTACAGCATTTAAAATTTTTGAGAATGCAAATAACTTTAAAAAAATGCAAAAAGCAAAGTTAATTGTAAGTGTAGCATAAGTATGTTTTACTACAAGAACCACATCCTTAGTATTCAAGCACTGGATTCATCTTAGAACTACCTCAGTGTTCCCATGAAGCCTACAAGTATTTAGTTTCACTTAAATGTACAGTGCACAATAATATGCCTTAATAGAAATAATGTCTCGCCCTTCCACCATAGCTGCCTCCTCTTCCTCCATGAAAGTTCCTATGTGTTCTTACTCTTCCTCTCTCCCTAGAATCCCAGCCACCTCTTCCTCCAAAGTCTTGCCTCTTCTGCCAAGGTGGCATTTCAGGTGGCGGAGCATCGATTTCTGACGGCCGTCCACCTCTGTCAGGAACGCTGCCCATCAGGATCTGTGAAGGACAAAGTGGATCATTCAGTACCTCCAGCATGATCAATGGCAAAAGTAAAGAACAGCAATATCCACAAAAATGAGATGTATATCCCAACCTTATTTATGGCACATGCAGTCTTCTCCCGAGTCTGCCCACTGCTTGTCTTCATCACATGGCAAATGTCTTCTCTTGCAGCTAGCAGGTGACCAAGACTAATCGATGGCTTGAACAGCAAGGAATATCTCAAGGGCTGGTAAACTTTTGCCATTCTGTCTAAACAATTCTTTGAAAATAAACAAATGATGTCAATTATTAAACCGCATTATAAAAACATTGACAATACTGAACAATTACGATCAAAAAATGAAGTCTTCACACAACCTTTGCTCTTTCTGACCAGCTGAAAGACTGCACAGTGACATCCAAGCGCTTAATCAGCATCCTGCGCCGATGCTCATACTCAGCAGAAAGAGCAGAGTTAATCTGCTCCAACCTTCCCTAGAGATGCATAAAACAAAGTTAAAGAAGCTAAACATGACTGGTAACCCATTTACTGAAAAGATTAGCAAGAAGTGCTGTATGAAAACATACACGGCTAGTCTTAGTAATGTGGTCCTGCAACTGCAGATTACATTGTATTCACACACCCATTGTTCACTGTTGAAGGACAACTTCAAGACAGGCTTGCCAAGGTGCTGCTTTGGAAGGTCTTCACAAATTTCTTTTATCTGCAAGCAAAGCCAGAGCTCTAGACAACAAATCAACATAAATAAAAATCTGAAATCAAAAGCATGGACTCTGGAATATAAACATTTGTAGCACATTAAAGATTTTTACCATTAAAACTTAAGTTGGCAAAAGAAAGAAAGAAACCACCATTAAGAAGTGATTATTATCCACCTTTGCTTCAATGTGGGAGATGATGTCGATTGTTGATTGCCCATTTGGTTCAGAGAGCTTCAATGTTTGGCAGATAGACTTGAGATTTTGCATAGTTGTACACATATCACCCACATGGCTTTGTTTGCTTTCCACAATCTGTGCAGCTTGCAGTTCTGAACTTAAATACACTGAGGATATCAAAGCAGCACAAGAACAAAACAATTCATGAATAGTCAAATTCTGGCATTCTGTAGATTCCTTAACACGTCTGATTATTTCCTGTTATGCTTCTTAAGAGTCAGTTTAGTTGCATATACACTGCTCAAATTAATTAAAGGAACACTTTGAAAACACATCAGATCTCAATGGGGGAAAAAAATCATGCTGGATATCTATACTGATATGGACTGAATAATAGACTGAAATGGACCGAAACATAATGTCCAAGAGATGTTCTATTGGATTTAGGTCAGGTGAGCATGGGGGCCAGTCAATGGCATCAATTCCTTCATCCTCCAGGAACGGCCTGCATACTCTCGCCACATGAGGCCGGGCATTGTCGTGCACCAAGAACAGCTTGGTTCCCATTGCCAGCAATAAGTCAGACTCATTCCTGGTGGGTTGGGCAGCCCTGGCACCAGCAGTAGGGAGTACATTGTAGGAACCGAAAAAAAACACCTCAGCAACATAAGCATATGGTCACTACACCTGACAACATAAAAAGTCATGACTTGCAACAGGGGAGGGAAATGGGGAGGTGGAGGTAGTCTAGCATAAACAAATAGCCATCAGGTCCTGCAGCCATAGAGGCACTGGTCACAGACCATGCTAAGGGTATGAAGCGGCGAAGGCGTGGGATGGGGGGAGGGTGCGGTGAGTGCATATCTGTACGTATGTATATGTGTGTGTGTATCCAGGTGTCCTTGGGATTGGGGGAGAGGAATACTAGACGAGACTAGACTAGATGAGAGGAGCAAAGCAGGGAAGATAAGGGGAGGGAGAGGGACAGAAGTGCGTCCGCCTCCGCTGAGAGCCAAAGCAAGAATAGGCTGCTGCAGTATGTATAAACACACCAACATTCTCGGTAGTTCAGTGGCAAAGTACATAGTAATATTAAGTCACATACGAGAAACACTTCACAGTACAATATATACACAAAATGAATGCAAGTGAGGTTTTCATACTTACAAATAAGATTAAGACAATTCTCTTTCTTTTGTAGCGCCTCTTTCTCTAAGAGCGCTGGATATGGGCAGAGCATTTCCTTCAACAGCCTACTTATATGAGACTGAAGACCATCGGCATCATCTGTGCAATAGCAGAGTTTATTTTCAAACCATTTGGTTTATAGAAAAAGACACACAAAGATAAACCAAAGCAACAGGGATTCAGCACCGCTGGTGCTCGGACAATCTGCTGATACGTCAGGAAAGCTTTTGCGAACATACTTTCATCGATGCACACACTTTCTTCCAGACCCAGCAGCTGCGCGAGTCGCACGGTCATCCACACAATGAGACCGGCAAAAGCGGGGGAGGACAAGCCGCAATCGCAGGCTTCTGCGAGCACATGCTCGTCTGTTAAAGGTCCATCGTATCTGTGAATGGTGTAAGTCAAGTACTATTAGCTACAACAGAAAGTGAGCACGATGGAAAGTGCTTACTAAAACAGCTAACCATATTTTATACGGCAGCCCACTAACAATGAGAAAAAATATGCATTTGAAGACTACTACAAATACAGTCAATTTCTTACTATAAGACTAATTATCATTAGCCTTGCTAAACAGGTTTTCCATACTCATCCCTATACAAGATCAGTATGACAATTTTGCGTCTTTGCTTACCCGAGTTGTTCCAGCGTATCTAAAATATCATATTCCATTGTATAATGCAGTCCCAGAAAAAAATTCAAACTACATCTTACAGAGGTGCGACTCGATGTAACGCGAGCCCGGTAACTGTTTCTCAAACAACTCACTCCTTCCGGGAGTGTTACTGATAAATGAATCCGAAGTACAACATTTTCCTGACTTATGGTGTGCGGAGACCTTTCCTGAAGACACCCAGTATTTGCAGTGATAATTCAATATACACATGTATTTGTTGCCTCAACCATGTGAATTCCATGCTTGACTAATCAATACCTCATCAAGATATTTATTTTTTTTGTAACTAGTTTTGCTCAGAGATTAATCAATTTAAATCAAGTGGCAGTTTTTGGCATTTTGAATTCAATTCAGGATTGTAAAGCAGTGTCTGAGGTATACTTGTGAGAACAGTCAGAGGTACTTAGTGCTTTAGGGAGCAGTGTTGGCTCAGTGGGCTAAGCCTGTGTGCCTGTAATCAGACGGTCACCAGTTCAAACTCAGCCTCAACTCATCTGTGGGTCCTTGAGCAAAGTCCTTAACCCCCAGCTCCCTGGGTGCCACTATGGGTAGATGCCCTTCACAGACAACTTACCCTACAAAGAAGAACAAGTTGAGGGAGGCATAAAGACAATTTCCCCAAGGGGATCAATAAAGTATCTATTATTATTAACCTGACTCTTAAAAATAAGTCTACAGGACCAGACAGATTAGCCACAGGATTTTACAAAACCTTTTCAAAAGAACCAGGGTTCAGACTTGACCATTCAAGGACATTCACCTTCCTATCCTTCAGACACTGTATTGTTCTTTTGCGGTATGTTTAGGATTGTTATGTTGGAAGGTGAATGGTCTACCCATCTTCAGCTGGTTTGCAGAGGGAAATAGGTTTTCCCTCAAGAATTTGGGTGTCCATTTTCCATCCATTTCCCTTCAATCCTGAGTGATCGCCCAGTCCCTGCTGAAGAGAAACACCCCCACAGTATAATGCTGCCACCACCATGGTTCACAGTGGGTATGGTGGTGATCTGTGTTTGCCTTTCGCCAAACATAGCGCTTGGAGAAAAATCCAAAAAGGTTGATTTTTTTGTCTCATCTGACCATAGCCCCCTTCTCCACATGGCAGCAGAATCCCCCAGGTGCATTTTTGCATAGAGCAAATGAAGAAATATTTCTTTTTTGCCACCCTACCATACAGGCCAGCTTTGTGTAAAGCTTGAGAGATTGTTGTGACATGCACAGATCGACCAGCCCAAGCCGTGAGGCATCCTTCAAAGTTCTTGGTAGCCTCTGTGATCAATGCCCTTCTAACTCCATCATCCAGTGTGGACAGACTGCCTGATCTAGGTAAAGTGTTGATGGTGCCATACACTCACCTAAAGGATTATTAGGAACACCATACTAATACGGTGTTTGACCCCCTTTCGCCTTCAGAACTGTCTTAATTCTACGTGGCATTGATTCAACAAGGTGCTGGAAGCATTCTTTAGAAATGTTGGCCCATATTGATAGGATAGCATCTTGCATTTGATGGAGATTTGTGGGATGCACATCCAGGGCACGAAGCTCCCGTTCCACCACATCCCAAAGATTCTCTATTGGGTTGAGATCTGGTGACTGTGGGGGCCATTTT